TCTTAGGTTCTATTTATTGTTCTTCCCATTTTCACAAACAGAACCAAAAGCTCAGGGAGGCCAGGGAACTAGCTCAAGGTCACAGGGTCCCTAGATCCTGGAGTAAGAAATTGACTCATGTCCTTGTATCTGTGTTCTATCCCCAGCTCTGGCTTCCAATTCTAGAATCCTACCAGTGTAGACCCACTGCAGCAGGTGATGGCTCAATTGATTGGGTACCTGCCATCCTCATGAAAAACCTGGATTGAGTTCTCATTTCCTGGCTCTCGTCATAGGTTCAGTTCTGGCTATTGTAGGAAGCTCCATCTCTTTGTCTCTCTGCCTCTCAAATAAAAGAAAAAAAAAACTACTTACCTTTAATAAACATTATATTCTGAATAAAAATTAATTCAGTTGACTGAAATTGAGTTGACTATATTTGAGACTAAGTTCTTAAAGTTCAGAACTATTTGACCTTATATCGCCATACTCCAGTCGTCCACACCTTTCCTCTCATGTTCAAAACATGTCTCCAACCACTGTAATGCTACATATCTGCATTTTAAGAAGGTTATAGATAATCAGTGGTTGTAAAGAGAAATGTGTTATTCCAGGTGATCACCTGGAGTCCCTGATTTGTGTTTAAAATTTAAGAATATAAAACAAAACTGTGGAGTACAATATTGGACATGTGCACATTTTCCTCTGTTTATGAAATACAAGTATATGCATGTGAATAAAAATGTGAGGATAGTACCTGAGCATGTTGTAAAAATATCAGCCTTGGGCCAGGCACGGTGGCCTAGCAGCTAAAGTCCTTGGCTTGAACGCGCCGGGATCCCATATGGGCGCTGTTTCTAATCCCAGCAGCTCCACTTCCTATCCAGCTCCCTGCTTGTGGTCTGGGAAAGCAGTCGAGGACGGCCCAAAGCTTTGGGACCCTGCACCCGTGTGGGATACCTGGAGGAGGTTCCTGGATCCTGGCTTCAGATTGGCATAGCATCGGCCGTTGTGCTTACTTGGGGAGTGAAACATTGGACTGAAGATCTTCCTCTCTGTCTCTCCTCCTCTCTGTATATCTGACTTTCCAATAAATAAATAAATCTTTAAAAAAAATCAGCCTTGATATAAAAGATTAGAACAGGTCCATTGATGCTCTTGAACAAAGAGTTCTCAGTGAGCAGTTATGAGTGACAGCCAATATGGTAGAACTTGCATCTAAGTATTCCTTTGCCAGACTGTGTCCTGACTTTTCTTTTCTTGCTTCAGCTTTGTACTCCTGGTTTATGTTTTGGTGTCCCAGATGTGGGCATCTGCTTCTCTCTCCCTCATGCCCAACTGTTTCAGTCAGCTTTTCATTATGATAATGACATACATGACACAGGCTAACTTTACAAAGAGAAAGTATTATTTGGCTCACAGTTTTAGAGGATGGAAATCTAAACAGCATGGTGCAAGCTCTGCTGAGAGTTCCATAGAAGATGGTGGGAACCATTCTATTCGCATGCAGGAGGAAGTACTCACATCTTGAATCAGGATGCAGAGATTGGATGGGTAAACTGATGAGAACATATCAGGGTCCCTCTGCAAATACCGTCATCTCTTTTGAGTGCGTGTCCCAGTTAACTGAAGGACCTCCCACTCAAACTCGTGCAACCACCTTGGGGACCAAGATTACAACGTATGAAGCTTTGGGAAGGGGGGAGGCAAACAACACCCAAACCATAACCCCAAGCTGAGACATGTTCTCAGAACCCCAGATAACTCAGTACTTAGCATACCAATACCAAAGATGACAGAGTGAAAGTGCAAGTTAGTCTTGATAATGGCAAGACTGATAATGCTATGTTGAAGCAATTGGGTAGGTAAAGGCCGATGAAGGCTCTACTTCAAGTCAAAACATTCCATGTCATAGAGTAACTTGAGAGTGGTGGGTTGTTCATTCACATATATCTTTTTTTTTTTTTAAAGATTTATTTTTATTGGAAAGGAGGATATACAGAGAGGAGAGACAGCGAGGAAGATCTTCCATCCGATGTTTCACTCCCCAAATGAGCGCAACGGTCGATGCTATGCCGGTCCGAAGCCAGGAGCCTCTTCCAGGTCTCCCACACGGGTGCAGGGTCCCAAAGCTTTGGGCCGTCCTCGACTGCTTTCCCGGGCCACAAGCAGGGAGCTGGATGGGAAGCGGGGCTGCCGGGATTAGAACCGGCACCCATATGGGATCCTGGGTGTGCAAGGCGAGGAGCTTAACCACTGCGCCACCGCGCCGGGCCCCCACATATATCTTGATTGTGACAATATATTTAGACCATATAGCAGCTTTGTGGTTGGATACATATGTCAAAATCTAGCAAAGTGTCCGTTTTAAGTACAGCATGTACAGAGAGTGTCTGTCCATTGTATCTGTTAGAAAAATGTAATGCTGCATGGACAGAGGGGGGCACTGGCTGGGTTCTTTTTTTTTTTCAAGGTTTTTATTATTATTATTATTATAAAGTCAAATTACAGAGAGAAGGAGACAGAAAGAAAAAATCTTCCATCTGCTGGTTCACTCCCCAAGTGGCTGCAATGGCTGGAGCTGAGCCAATCTGAAGTCAGGAGCCTCTTTCGGGTCTCCTATGCATGTGCAGGGTCCCCAAGCTTTGGACCATTCTCTACTTCTTTCTCAGGCCACAAGCAGGGAGCTGGAAGGGAAGTGGAGCAGCTGGGGCATGAACCGGTGCCCATATGTGATCCTGATGTTTACCAGGCAAGGACTTTAGCCACTAGGCTACCATGTTGGCCCTGGCTGGCTTGCTGTGTCAATAAGAAAGCATGACAGGTCCTATTGACTATATTTGTAGTTTGATCTTAAATTCATGTGATTTTTTTTCTTTAAAGAAATAAAATTAGCCCACAGTTGAGATCCAGGAAAATTAAACGTCATCACATGTAGATATGATATTTTCTTCTTGGCACTGTAATTGTAAAAGCCATCACCCAGGATCTCACTTTTGGGTGGAGACTAGATTGGGAGCTTTCTTAGGACCTAGTTTCTTAGATTCCTTAACAATCCAGTGCCTGCCAACTAACCTCACATTCCTCCCAGATAATGCAGTCCTGGAAACAGATGTTTGCTACTCTTTGCTCCCTATCCCCAGTGTTTGGAAACTCTACCAAATGGCCAGGCTCCCATGTGAGACTTGTGTATTCTTCTGAGCACTTGTGACAAATGACCTTTCCAAGCAGAGCACACCCTCTGTGGCGTAGTTAAAACAAGCAGTGGATTCCGTGCGATTCTAAACATGCTAGTGTAATTCTATTCCTCTTTCACTAGGAAGGCTTGAGAGAATGCAAGTGTGAAGAGCATGGAAGACTTTATGGAGATAACCTTGAACATACTCTAACTGACCTTCCATGCCCTTGAATACTTTATAATTATGAAGGAACTACTAGCAACATACCTAGTGGCAGATAGGGATGTTGCTGTTGGTGGAGAAAGCCTAAGGCTGACCCCTGTGGGACTCTGCTAAGTTCAGGTCTTAGCTTAGATCAGCAGCAACCCATGAAGTGCTCCCAGCTGGCTCTTCATGTTTCTCCCTTTCTTATTGCCACCTTGAGACCACTGGACATGGTCTTTAGGTTAGCCCTTGTAGCCTGAGCTCCTAGCACCAGCAGGTAGATCATGCATGGCTGTCCTACTAGACCCACCTTTTTGTGGCTGCAGGAACCTGCTGTAGGCACATCAAAGCCCACCAGAATGATGTGATTGTTTAACCCAGAGATAGGAAATAAAGGGGAAGCCTGGCATTCTGCAAGATCTGCTATGACCAGGCTGGTTCCATCTAGCCAGGATCCAGAGGTCCACATAATGCGGAGGAGTTGGGAGGAAAGTTCAAGTTCAAGTTTACCTCAGGGAGGAGGTTTGAAGCAAATAATTTGCACTGACCAACAACAAACTGTTTTCAGAAACAGTAGAATTTTCCACCGTGGGAGTTGGAAAATCGGTGGTTGGGAATAGACCCTGGGTATTTTTAGTTCTGTATGAGTTTCATCATCTGAGCTGTAGAACTCTGTGATCCTAAAAGCCCCTGCTTGTGTGTCTGTTTGAGATCCCTGTTCAGGCTAGCGATTTCAATGTGAGGGCATCTTCCCAGGAGTCGCGTGCTTCCCTGCACATCAGTGAGTGTTGCCCCTGTGTGAGTCAGTGGCCAGGTTTTCTCAATGTGACTCAGTGTGAGTCAGTGGCCCACTTTGCAGGAGCACACAGTTTTGGAATTGAGAAGCCCCTGGGACAACACATTTAACATGGAGAACACACAGTTTCTAGTGGGGACACTGGGAGGCTGGAAGTAATACTCAATAAGTGCAGTACCCATGGACAGCACATGTGTGATTCTTCATGCCAACCCCCTGCACCCGTACTGCTGACACACACTTCTCTGAGCTGAGAGAAGGCACCAGATGTCATCAGTAACATCAGGAACCTTGTGATTCCAGAGCAGTGGCATCTGTTGGTGCATGTGCAACTCCTTTTGTGTGAAATGCTCTCCTGTGATTTTTCTTTTGAGAAGGATTGATCATGTTTCAACAGTGAGAAGACCCTCTCACCTAAGATGCCCCTCCCATAACTTAGTGTCCACGGTTTTTGGCAAGGAAACCAAGAAATTTCAACCCATTCCCTTGCACTGAATGTGCTCCGTACTCCTCTGTAAGCACTCATCACATCGCATGGGGACTATAAGGTCAAGGATTCTCTAACATGTTTACATTATGAATTTACCCTTGCTGAATTGAGTTGAAGGACTCCCTGGCAGAGGGCAATGGAGTCTCCCACCTTGAGATGACTTAAAAATATCAGCCAGAGGACTAGTTACAGCTGCAAGAAACCTTGGGAAGCCCAAACCTCTCACCCAGAGAAGCTTAGAAAGACAAAGATTGGCCCTTGGAGCAGTAATGGGGCCTGAGTCTCCAGTGGCCAGTGTGATGTGGCCTTTCCACTATACCCTCAGTCACATGCCCTTTCTCTCCATTTCCAGCCTTGTTAACTTTGTGTGCCACACCTGCTTCAAGAGACAGGAGAAGCTCCACCGCTGCGGGCAGTGCAAGTTCGCCCACTACTGTGACCGCACCTGCCAGAAGGATGCTTGGCTGAACCACAAAAATGAGTGTTTGGCCATCAAGAGACATGGGAAAGTGCCTAACGAGAACATCAGGTCAGAACCAGGCTTGGGGGTCCCCAAATGTCAGCTGAGGGGTGGCAGGGACAGCATTCCCAGGCCTTAGGACACCAGGCTTGGCACAGATCTGCCAGGAGCCTCTGAGGCTGGATGTGGTGACTTCTTAGACTTCGTTTAGGTCTAAGAGGAGGATGTGGGTGTCCACACCACAGGCACTGGATGGAACCAATCTATAGCCGTCTTCTCCATGGCTCTCTAGAGTTCATTAATGTATTACTTTATTATTATTACTAGTTAATGATTTTCCCTTCATTTACCATACATTTTATACCATCTTTTGTGATTTACTATGAACTGTACAAATGATCTAATGTTCACTTGAAAAGAAAATTGACCTGCCAAAGTTTTAAGATTGGAGAACTGTACACTTGAACAAATATGAATTTTGGCTTCTCCTATAGAAAAGAAAAAAACAAGTAAAAACAAAGTCAAAAGAGCGATAGCTTCTGTTCCTTTAAAAAAAAGTACAGTTTTCTGGGGCAAGATTTAAGTTGCTGCTTAGGATACTAGCAGCCTTTACCCTATTTTGTGACGTTTGGGTTTATGTCCTAGCTCCACCTCCAATTCCAGCTCCCTGCTAATGTATACCCTGGGTGGCAGTGGATGATGGTTCAAGTAGTTTGGTTCCTGCCACAAAAGAGGGAGATCCAGGTTATTTCTGTTCCTGGCCCAGTTATGGTTGTTGTGAACATTTTGGGGAATTATAGTGGGTGGAAGATCTCTGTCTACCTCTCTCTGACTTTCAAAGAAATCAGACAATTTTTTTTAAAAAAGACTTATTTATTCATTTGAAAGTCAGAATTAGAGAGGGAGAAAGAGAAGGAGGGAGGGAGAGAGAGTCTTCCACTTCTGGTTCACTCTCTAAAAGGAAACAATGACTGGGACTCACTCAGCCCTGAGAGAAAGAGGGAGAGAGATCTTCTACATGCTTGTTAATTCCCTCAGATGCCCTCAGTGGTGAGGGCTGTGCCAGGCCAAAGCCATTAGCCAAGAAGCTTCATTTGAATCTCCCATAGTGGGTGTAGGAGCATAAGCATTTGAGCCATCTTCTACTACTTTTCAGGGCTATTCTTGGAGCTGAATTGGAAGCTGAGCAGCTGGGACACCAACTGGTACCCACATGGGATGCCAGTGATTTCATCTCCTATACCATGATGCTGGCCCAAATAAATTTTTAAAAATACAGTTTCCCAAGTCACTGAATGCCCACTACTCCCTGTGGTGCTACATTCTGCCCTCCACACTTGAGACACCAGCAAGTGTTTGGATTTGCTACTGATAGCCTCTACTGGTGATCATGGCCAGAAATTCCAGGGCCAGTACCTGACATTCCCAGTGTAAGAACTTCCAGATCCTGCAGCCTCTGCCAGGTCAGGGCTGGCTGAACTGTGGTAAGGTATCTAGGGAGGCAACAGTGAGTAGAGAAGATGCAGATGATAACTGGGGACATTTTCACTCTGCCAGGAGGCTGTGGCGTTAGATTTCGAAATAGAATCTATTGTGGGAATCTTTAGGAAGATTGCAGGAAGCAGTAGCCCAACCAGCTTCCCCATCCTGCTTAGATCCATCTACTGAAATCCTACACATTCTTCAAGACTCAAAGGAATGTCATGCCCTGCAATGAGAGCTCGGGAGCTCCATCTACGCAGTCCCAGGTGTAACTTCTGGGACTTCTGAAACTGACTTGAAATTGCTCATGCCGTGTATTTCCATTTCTGCCATACATGGTCATTTCCAAAGTATTTGGAGGCAGCAGATCTTCCCCACACCTTATCCAGAGTGTTAATTCCCCTACTGCCATCCCAGACTCTAGCGGGGGCATCTCAGTTTCCACACTCCTGGGGGTCCCACAAGTCATTGCTTCAGAAGTAACTCTGTAACTCGAAGAGTAAGAGACAAAAACCTACATTTTCATCAAAAGAATCCCTCATGGGGGCCAGTAACCCCTGTTTGGCTCGCAGACAGCAAGCAGGCCAGGCCAGGTGGCCGAGAGATGTCAAAATGTCCCCAAGGCACAGCTTGGTTTAGGAGATGGGCAAGGAGGCTGTCAGGGTGAAGTACCCCACTCTGACTCATTATAAAAGCTCAGAGCTTTATGGGGCCCCTCCCTACCACTCTGCCTCCCATGAAGCTCTCTACTTCAGCCAAGCAAGGCCCTGCCTTGCTTCCAGCAGAGGCCACACCCATGGCTGCCTCTGGTTTTTGGCTTATGTGGTTTCTCTACATAGACCTTCTATTTCACCTTTTCCTCTACCCACTCCTTAAGAACACAAATCGATGCGGCCACCATGTGGTTGCCCCTTTCCTCACTTTGTCTTCTGAACACCTTTAAGAAGGATGGCAGAGATAAAGATCTCCAGATAGCTTCAAAGAGGCCAAGTGCTTGCCCAAGGTCATGGAGTAAGAAGTGGAAACAGTGAAATCCAAACCATGAAATTCCTTATCCATTGCTTGTCCCAGTGAGTCTACTGTCAGGTGACACCCAGCTGCCATAACCCTTCACCGCAGACCCTGTGCAACCCAGCTGCTGCCACCTCTCCACCTGAATCGGCTCTACTCCTAGCTGCAGGTGCTTCCATCACCTTTGTATCTTGCTCATTCTCCATCACACCCAACTCGTTCCTTCACTAAGGACTGGGAACTCACTGCTCTTTCTCTAACCTATCCTAGCTGACTCCTCTGTCCATTTCAGTCTCCCTCTTGGGAGCCCTTTGTTAATGGCCTTAGTGTTACCTGCCCATGTCTATCATACCCTCTGATTTTCTTGTCTACGTACAATTCAACAGTACTTAGTATGATTGTGCGTACAGGTATCTGCCTCCATGCAGGGAGCTTTGTGATAGGAAAAGTCCATCTATCCAGCTCAGAATTGTATCTTAAGCCCAGCATTGCAGCTGGCATGCATTAGGCACACAGGAAAAGATGAATGATGAATGAATGAATGAACGCACGCAGTGGCCATTTCCCTAACGCTGCCTCCTCCCGCAGGCTGGCAGCGCGCATCATGTGGCGAGTGGAGAGAGAGGGCACGGGGCTCACGGAAGGCTGCCTGGTCTCCGTGGATGACTTGCAGAACCACGTGGATCAATTTGGGGAGGAGGAGCAGAAGGAGCTGCGGGTGGACGTGGATGCGTTCTTGCAGTACTGGCCGCCGCAGAGCCAGCAGTTCAGCATGCAGTACATCTCGCACATCTTTGGTGTGGTAGGTTTGCCTATTCCCTCCCCGAGGATGCCCCCCTCCCACCCTCTGCCTTTTTGTTTTTTTCTTTCTCTCCTTCTGCTTTGGGATAGTGGTGCTTCCCAGAGGTGAATAGGTCTGTGAGGAGGAAACCCCATCTGCATCATCCATCAGCAGCTGGACAGTTAAGATGCTGATCAGCACACTTGATACCCACGCCCAAGTGCCTGGGTTTGAATCCTGGCTCTGTTGTGTTGCAGCTTCCTCCCAGTGCAAACACTGGGAGGTAATGTTGCTGGTGGCTTCAGTGACTGAGTTCCTAAATGGCCTGGGAAACCTGATTGCGTTCTCAGCTCCCAGAGTGAACCAGCTGATAGAAGCTCTCTGTCTTGTCTAAATAAATAAATAAATGGGCCTTACTTAGGCAGCCAGGAATTTTGGTGGACTCTGACTTCCATTTATGTAGACTTTCACAGCCCCTTCCTTTTCAGAACCTGGGAACAGGCTTCTGAAAGACCCAATTTATATATCCAGAGATTCTAGAATACTATTCCTTATAACGGAGTACTAGGGAAAGCAGGGATTATGTGAAAAGTTTCCAGAAGCTTCTAGACCAGAGTTGGAAGGGCTGCCAAGAGAAGGACTAGAGGGACAAAGAAATGTATAATGATGCCTTCTCATCTCCTGCTCTGTCCAGTCTGGTTTATTGAGTTCACTGTTGCCCTATATGAAATGGGGCATTCAACTTACAAACTTTATTTATCAACTCTGAATGGCACATATGAGTGGGAATGTGTCTTCTTGCCCATATGCACTTTATAAATTTCCTGCTTTCCACATTGGAAACAAAGACCTGATGGCCACCTCTTCTTAATCACCAATCACTTTAAAAAGAAGGCCCTTCTTTTGTCCAGGTCTGCCTGGCAGGATACATAGGGATCCTGGAGCAGGGAGCCATGTGAATCAGGCAGAAGATAGTCAGGACTCAGTAATGGATCAGCAACTCTAGCAGAGCCCCTGAGAGTTCAGGGGGCTTGGTGGATCTGGAGGTGCAGGCTTTTTGTCTGGGATAGAGGTCTTCTACCTGGCAGGCCCTTTGTGTCATGATGAGGCTTCGTGGACGGAGGTTCCTGTTAAAATAACAGCATCCACCCAGTCTTCATCAAGAACAGAGATGAGGAAAGAGAAGTAAGGGTAAGGATGAGGAGAAGATTTTAGACAATTGGCTCACACAGTTGTGGAGGCTGGGTACATCCACTGCAGGGTAGGCCAGGCTGGAGATCTGAGAAAGAGTTAGCGTTGTGTGTAAAGAGTCCATTGGCAGAGGTCCTTCTTATTCAGAAGGAGTGCAGTCTTCAGTCTTAAGGCTTTCAACTCAGTGGCTGAGGTCCATTCACATCATGGAGAGCACTTGACTTTATTCAGAGTTCACCAATTTAAATATTAATATCATTTTTTAAAAATCCACCTTCATAGAAATATACATAATAGTGTTTGACCAAATATATAAGCCCTAAGTTGGCATACAAAATTAGCCATCCTAGCTTACCATGTATTATTTCAATGCAAGGTGAGTCCAACATGTAATAGTCCTCCTTTGTCGCATAGAAAACAGGCCCTCTGAAGGTTACACAACCTCCGCAGATCATATGATCAGTGGTGCCCAAAGTAGGTCCAGGGGCAGTCTGCCTGATGCCAGAGCTTCTACACTTAATTGCTCTGCTCTACAGGCTTAGGGTAAATTGATGTGACAGACCCAAGCTGGGGGTTGGAGACACAGAGCACAGAATCACCAAGGCCCATAGTCAAAAGGATCCCAAGAGTCTATCTTATTCCAGTCCAACTTAATCAACCTGAGGATGGGAAAGCCAGGGCTCAGAAAAGGAAGGAATTTGCCTGAACTAATATGGTTTGCTAATAACATTTACAGCTTAACACCAGGTACTTGCTAAACGTTCCATAAGACTAAATGGAGAAAGTGAGTCTATTCTCTGCTATAGCTATGTAAACAGTCATGCAAGTGTGTAATTGTGCTTGTATTTATAGTAGGTACAGTGTATATTCACACAGAAGGTAGAACGTTGTGCATAGTTATTCATACAATCTAGGTTATATTCAATTTTTTATGAAAGAGAGAGACATCTCCCACCTGTAGAGACTTCTCTTATTTGCTGGTTTATTTGGCCGACTGCAACAGCCAGGGATGGGCTGAATTGAAGCCATGAATAAAAAATAATCCACATCTTCCATTGGAGTATAACGCCCAACTTTTTGAGCTATACCTGATGTTCCCTTGGTGGTGTATCAGCAGGAAGTTGGAATTGAAAATGGATCCAAGACTCACCCAGACACTTTTTAATATGGGATTCAAGTGTCTCAAATGTAAGGAAAAGAAAGTCATCCGAATGCTGTATCAATAATAACTAATTCAATTTGCCAGATAACTATTAAACTTTGCACTCATCGTATTTTTTAAAGATTTTTTAAAATTTTATTGGAAAGGCAGATATACAGAGAGGAGGAGAGACAGGGAGAAAGATCTTCCATCTATTGATTCATTCACTCCCCAAGTAGCCGCAATGGCCGGAGCTCAGCTGATCTGAAGCCAGGAGCCAGGAGCTTCCTCCAGGTCTCCTGTGTGGATGCAGAGTTCCAAGGTGTTGAGCCATCCTCTACTGCTTTCCCAGGCCAAAAGCAGGAAGCTGGAAGGGAAGGGAAATGTGGCAGCTGGGATATGAACCAGTGTCTATATGGGATGCTGGCAGTTGCAAGGCAAGGACTTTAGCCATTAGACTGCTGTGCCGGATTGGCACTCTTCATATTTAAAAAATTATGGACAGATACAAACTAACCCAAAAGGAACATTAACTAATATTTCATGAGCAGCTAGAGGAGTTGAGACAAAGGAAGCAGGGGAGAGACAAGCAGACACACACACAAATCAGGATACAGAGAGAAAAGCCAGGCCAGAGGCTGGGGAATACTCGTGTTAAACCCAGGCACAGACAGGAAGCCAACGTTTCCATCATCTTTAGCCTGGGTCTACTAGTTTCTGCTTCCCTTACTAGGGTGGTGTTCTGTTCCTAATCTAGGTCTGTTGACTGACATATTTGTATCCTTTCCCTTGGCAGATCAACTGCAATGGTTTCACTCTCAGTGACCAGAGAGGCCTGCAGGCTGTGGGTGTGGGCATCTTTCCTAACCTGGGCCTGGTGAACCACAACTGTTGGCCCAACTGCACTGTCATATTTAACAATGGCAAGTGAGTATCTTCTGCAGGCACTGTGTGATGGGGGAGGAGATTCCTGATGGTGTGTGCGCCATACCTGTTGAACCTGATAAGCATGGGTTTCCAAGGTGCCGTAGATAGGAAATCTCATTCCAGAATAATTGTGACTGGGAGCAAGGTAACAAAGAGGATGTTAAAGGATTCCACATGGATCTGAAGCTCTGCATGTTTCTTGAGGCTACCTAGATGTTGTTAGACACACCTCTGACTTTTAACACTATTTATAAACATGAGCCTTGACATTGTCCCTCTAGAGGCTATTGCAGAGCAATGTGGACCAAGAGTAGATTGACAGGGACACAGCTCAGCCCAGGTCCCAGCAGGAACCCAAAGACACTCTTACGGACCTTACTTGACGGGGTCTAGTAACACATCCACTAACACCCCTAGACCTAGAGGGGCAAGTGGAAGACATAGTGAGAGCTGGGCCATGGTAGGGTGCTCCCCAATAGCTCCACTGTGGCTCACAGCTATAACCTTAGAGAAACCAGGGCCTTCCTATACCATGGGCTTAATATTCCCCATCTCTTTCTCCTCTCACCTTTGGATCTCGCCCCTTTGGCCAAACCCCAGCCAGAGGCCAGAGAGCAAAAGAAGCTGAGTGATGGCAGCTTTCCAGAGGTCAACCCTGTTCATCTGGAAGTCACAGATTAGGGACCTAAGAGCAGAGAGTGGCTCTGAGGTGTGGGGCATGAGTGGAGAAGAATCAGTAAATGGCTAAACCCCAACTGTCCTGGACACTGGCTAGGGGTGGCTAAGGGAAGCAGACATGAGCCATATGAGCTGCTTGTGCCCTTAGAAGAGGTAAACTCCAAGTACAGTGCCAGATGACTTGGATCCACCCAGAATGTACAAGTCTCCTTCCCAAAACTTCCTAGAAGCAAAAGATAAGGGTGTCTGATTCTTAGCTGAGAACTAGACCTAAGCCCCAATATGACCAGACCCCTTAATTTCCCTTTTCTCACACCAGGCTCTCAGGTAGTTTAGAAGGTCACCTAGGATAGGAAAGTCTATTTTGGGTGCAGATGATAATATGTCCTCAGTGTTATGTTTCCCTTTCTAGACCTCTAGGGGTCCCTTGCCTGGACCCCTGGAATCCTCCCTTGAGGGGCTGCTGCTTGGGATAGCCTGGTGGGCAGGGAGGATCAAATTCATCCTCAAAGGGAGCCAGATGTTCTAGAAGTCCTTCCCCTAAGCAGTGGTGGCCAAGGGCTCACCCAGTAACTATGTGAAACAGTCAGGGAACCTGGGACACTTTCTTCAGGTCATCTCTGGTGTTTGCTCTGGCTTTCTTGCATCTACTAATTTTGAGAGCAGCTATGTTTTGCCTAGAGTTCATGGCTTTTGTGCAAGAGAAGGTGTCTTCATGGCCTAGCTGCCTACTGTAGTGGAAAGAAGCCTGGGCATGATGTTAGGATATTAATTTTAATCCCAATATATTTTTTTAACATTCTATTTGTATGACTTCACTAGTTGTCACATGCAATCCAAACTCTCCCCCAAAATAGGCATCCAAAGAGGTGATGTTTATTCATCCAGGATGCTTGTTAGTGGAAAAACATGCCATGCGTTTCTTAGCACTACACTTTCAAGTGCAGGATTCACTCATTACAAGAATGAACAGGTCCAACGGAAGGAATTAGCTTGTTGGCGGCTGAGTGTCCTTGAATCCAGAACTTCTCACTCCAAACCCAGTGCACTCTGCCTCTTGTCATGTGAGCTCTGCTGGAAAGGACCAGGGTAAAGGTTGTTGTCATGGCCAAAGCTTTGACTGTATAACCAAGAATGCTGTGTAGCCTGCTAGCCATACTGGCTCAGCCAATGATATTGATTTCCATTCGGGTGTCTGTTTTGTCTTTCAGTCATGAGGCAGTGAAATCCATGTTTCACACCCAGATGAGGTGGGTCAGTCCTTCCAAACCTCCCTGCTCCTCTGACCCATCTCCCTTATTTGCCTGGTTTGCTGGGTTTCCCTTGTTCCCCTTCCCAAGACTGTGGCTGTTGTTGGGCTGTAATGCCCTTCTGTAGCCTAGGATCTATAGTCTTCATGGAATGCTGTGTATTTTACTGCATTTGCATTAACCATTTGCTACTTGCTCACCCACCCATCACATGCCTCGCCTTTGCATAATTTTGCTTCTTTCCTGTCCCTTCTTTATTTCACACTTTTGCTCCTCCAGTCTTTCAGCATGAACCTTTTAGTCCACATCATCTTAGCAAGAACCTATATCCCTTGGACCTGCACACTGTGAAATGAGGTCTGTTGATGTTACTGATTTACTAAAGACTGGCATGCTTGATTATAATTCTCAACTTCTCACCCAGACTGGACTCTAAGAATAGCACCCTTAACTGTGGTATTTACTCATAGGATTCTCTTAACTGCTTCTGGCTATCTATGGGTTAGTAGCTTACACTGAAGTTTATTTTGGACTTTTCTTGTTAAAATATTCATACTACTTAAAGTGATATACAGATTCAGTGTAATCCCCATCAAAATACAAATAGTATTCCGTACAGGAATTGAAAAAAAAAATCCTGGAATTCATATGGAACCACAACTGACCCTGAATAGCCACAGAAATCTTGAGCAAAAAAATCAAACTGGAGGGATTACATCATCTGATCTCAAATAACGTTATAAAGAGATAATAACCTAAACAGTATGGCACCAGCATAAAACTGACATGTAGAAAAATGGAGCAGAATAGAGAACCCAGGAATAAATCCATGCAGCTACAGTCAAGTGATCTTTGACCAAAAGGAAAATCTCTTCCATAAGTGCTGTTGGGAAACTGGATATCTGCATGCAAAGGCAGGACTATGTACCACCAAGTACAAAAATCAATTCAAGGTGGATCAAAGACTTAGATGTAAAACCCCAAACTAAGAAGCTACTAGAAGAAAATACAGGAAAAATATTCCAGGACATTGATATGGACAAAGAATTTATGGATATGACCTTAAAAGTACAGACTACAAAAAGTAAACTGGATAAACATGATTATTTCAGACTAAAAAGCTTCTGCACAATAAACGACCAACAGAGTGGGAGAAACCATTTACAAATTATTGCTCAGGATGTGTAAGAGGCAACAAAACACAACAGCAATAAAAAAAAAGATCCAATTTAAAAATAGGTAAATTATCTGAATAGACCTTTTTGGAAGAAGTTGTACAAATCTGCAAGGCTTTTTTTTTTCATGACAACCAAATGGCCCTAGGGTAATCTTTTCCTCAGGTTAAACTTAAAAGCCCTTGAAACGGTCTTCAATCAACTATTAAGAACAAAATTCCACGTGGAAGTTTAGGCTTTGCATTACAAGGATAGCAGTGATTGGTGCGGCCCAGTCTGTGTTGGCGCCCACTGCAAGTGACTGGGCAATTCACCGTATCTGCTGAGTTCGAGTTCTAGATCTGTAGAGCGAAGATCAAGAGAATTTTTATCTTGAAATTTTTGTAGTTCTTGGGCTCTTCTGCTCTGAGCTCTGTTGCTAAGCTCTATAAGAAAAAGTTGCCTATTTGCAACTCAATTCAATTCTAGAATTGTAGAGTGTTGGAGATGGAAGATGACTGGGGTTCAGGGTGGGAAGAGACTTGTCCAAGGCAGGGTCAACATGAAAACTTTCCTTTTGAGACTCCTTCTGCAGTACTTCTTGATCACCATTTGCTTCTCCAGGTCCCAATTCCAAGTAAAGTAAAATGAGATGAATATATATTCATTTGAACTTTTCTGAATAATAAATAGTAATAAATATATATTCATTTTATTATTCTATTCATTCAAGTAGCATTAAATTAATTTGGCTTTGAAAACTCTCTACTGCCTGTGAAGCAGTTGAGGTGGAACAGGAGACCAGAGTGGTGGTGGTGGCAGTGGGGGCGGGGTGGCAAGAACGCTCTGTGTAACAGGTGGACCAGCGTTAATCCCTTCAGAGGGATGCACCTCAGTGAACTAACCACTTCCACTAGGACCCACCTCTTAAAGGGACCACCACGGTGAGGCCCAAACCTCCAACATGCAAACCCTTTGGAGCATGCGGAAGGGGCTGCCTTTGGCCGGAACGCAGAGTCTTATTTCTCATGGTGTCCAACTCAACCTTTGTGGGAAGTGAAAGAAATGACCGTGGGTCTCTGATGAACCATGTCCAGCCCTCTGTACCCTGCCACTTGATCTCTGAGTGATGACTTGCCATTGGGCAGCAAGGCCCCAGGATCCAGGAGAGAGAGGAGCACGGCTGTGAATCCAGTGTGTAGGACGTCCGCGTGTGTTCTGTAGCCATATGGCCTTGCAGTGGAGGCTGTCTGCCGCTTGCGTGGCTTGGCTGGAAATCAGGTCCACGGTGGGCGTGTGAGCCCCTTCAGCATTCTCATTCTGCTACATGTAAACAGGTCCCTGGAGCGTCAGGGCTACGCTGGAAGGCAATCGTAACTGCCGTTTGTTCTTGCTCAGCACCTTTAACCAGTAAGCTGTGTCATCAAATAAACACAGAAGTAAACAGGAAATCCACCCAAAGAGCCAACCATTGCTTATTCCCCTTCGTGAGGGGTTAAGTCACACCTGCCTTAGGTAAGATACGCCTGAATCATCGAACTAAACTCAGGATTAAAAGTTAGAAAAAACATGGCCTGAAACTGTGAGTAATGAGATGTGTCTTTCTGAGAGTAACCTTGAACTACACAGAAGTGATCTTCAAGTCTTCTTGGAGCTTGCTCCAGATTCTTTTCCCACTCCTTTGTTAGAATTAGCAGCTAAGGGGCCCCGGCGCGGTAACCTAGTGGCTAAAGTCCTTGCCTTGAACGCATCGGGATCCCATATGGGTGGCACCTGGCAGTTCCACTTCCCATCCAGCTCCCTGCTTGTGGCCTGGGAAAGCAGTTGAGATGGCCCAAAGCCTTGGGACCCTGCACCTGCATAGGAGACCCGGAAGAGGCTCTGGGCTCCTGACTTTGGATTGGCTCAGCCCCAACCATTGCGGCCACTTGAGGCGTGAATCAACAGTTGGAAGATCTTCCTCTCCGTCTCTCCTCCTCTCTATATATCTGACTTTGCAATAAAAATAAATAAATCTTAAAAAAAAAGAAGAATTAGCAGCTAAATATGCAAGGAGATCTGCAAGCATGGAGGTTATGTAGGGTTGCATGACCAAGTTCAGCTGTAAACTGGACTCTGAAATATCAACAGCGATTAACTGAATGGAACAGATTTGACTGTTCTAGTAAGAAGAAGTTTGTTTTTCAGAAAACTGTTATGACTTCCCTTTTTGCTGGCAGTTGGGGGGGGCGGGGCGGCATGGGGATTTTCTCTGTTGATGCCTGTGTGTTTTGACCACTCGAAGCCTGGTCTTGACCCACTCTTTTTCCTTTCACCCCACTCCAGGATCGAGCTGCGGGCCCTGGGCAAAATCTCAGAAGGGGAGGAGCTCACAGTGTCCTATATCGACTTCCTCAACCTGAGCGAAGAACGCAAGAAGCAGCTGAAGAAGCAATACTACTTTGACTGCACCTGCGAGCATTGCCAAAAAGGGCTGAAGGACGACCTCTTCCTGGGGGTGAAGGACAACCCCAAGGTACACATAACCATCCTCCTAGGGCTTGCATCTTCTCCAGGAGCCAGCCCAGGGTGGATTTCACAGCCGGCCCATGTGCCCCTGCCCATTAGCTTCCCAGTGACAGGGCCAGCCTGTGAGCACTGCAGGCACTTCCCAGCTAGTGTCCTGGCATCACTTCTTGCCAGGTGTGTTTGGGGAAGTTGTTCCATTTACTCATGAACTGGGAGCCTGAGGGAATCTCAACCAGGGCCTGTGAAACACAGGAGTACAAACACGAGGTTAGTGTTGTGGCACAAGAGATTAAGCCGCTGCCTGTGGTGATGGCATCCCGCCTGAGCATCAGTTGGAGTCCCGGCTGCTCCACTTCCAATCCAGCTCCCTACTAATGCACCTGGGAAAGCAGCAGAGGATGGCCCAAGCACTGGGGCCTCTGCCACTCATATGGGAGACGAGGAAGAAGCTCCTGGCACCTGATTTAGGCCTGGCCCAGCCTTGATCATTGTGGCTGTTTGGGTAGTAAACTAGCCAGATGAAGAATCGATTTCTCACACATGGGAGCATGTGAGCATTTAAGATTCATGATCTTAAAAAAAAAGTCTTAGAGCTAGAGAGACTCCATGGAAGAGCATGACCAGGCAGGTGGCCTTGGTCGTTGACCACAGAACCCCCTGGACACTGCGAACACCAAATCTGTTGTGGGAAAGGCAGCCTCTCTGCCTTGCTCCCCTGTGAAACCTGCCAGATGAATGAAGCCTTTGCACTTGCCTAGGGTCAGGCCTGAGAATCACACAGGGGTTTTAAATGAGAAGCCAGCCCACGTGGGAGAACTGACTGGTTCTTACATAACTGACACTCCACCAGTGTATTTAAAATGCAAATACACTTCCAAATAAACTTCTACATCCTACTTATGGGAAAAAAAATTTGCTTCTAGGCAGAACAAAGACCTCAGGCAAATCTGTCTCCTTGGTACAGAAAGCACAGCCCTTTGCCAATGCCTTTGGTCACTTGATGGTGTCGGTGCTAATGCTCAAACGATGCTGTTTCTCCACTTAACTCATCTCTCCTTTTTCATCCCTTGCAGGTTCCAGACACTTTTGGTTACACATTTATTTATTTATTTCTAAAAGATTTAATTATTTTTAACTAGAGAGGTGGAGTTACAGAGAAAGGAGGAGAGAGAAACAGAAAGATCTCCCATCCTCTGGCTCACTCCCAAAATGGCTGCAATGGCCGGTGCTGGACTGGTTTGAAGCCAGAGCCATGTGCTTCTTCCAGGTCTCCCACATGGGTTCAGGGTCCCAAGGACTTGGGCCATCCTTTGTTGTTTAACCAGGCCATCAGTGGAGAACAGCATGGGAAATGTAGCAGTCGGGACATCAGCTCACGCCCATGAGGCATGCTGGCACATACAAGGAGAGGGTTTAGCTGCTGAGCCATCGTGCTGGGCCCATGTATGCCAGGTCTTAAGGGGGAAATTAAGGAGCCAAATAGTGCCGTGTGTATGTTTATAGGGCTACTATAACACAGACACAAAGCTGTTTCACAATTCTGACAGCCGAAAGTCTTCACACTAGTGACAGGGTTGATTTGAAAGGCAGAGCTTCCAAGTGAAGGAGGGGAGGAGTTCCAACTGCTGGCCCACTGCCCGGATGGCAGTGATGGTCAGTCAGGACTGAGCCAGGCGCTCCATCCTAGGCTTCCACATGGTGGCAGGAGCCATCTTCTGTTGCCTCCTGCCATTTTGAGCCATCTTGGCCCATCTCCTGCTGCCTTCCCAGGAGCCTTTACAGGGAGCTGGATCAGAAGCAGAGTGGTTGGGACTTGAACCAGAGCTTCCATATGCGATGTCATTGTCTTCAGTGGCAGCTTAGTGTTGGCCCCTGGACTGGACCCTTCTGAGGGCTGTAGCATTTTCCTCAATTGTTGCTCTGTGTCTGTTTAGGCTGCCAAGGGGTTTCTTTTGCCCTTTGCAGCCTTCAACCTTGGTTTTCACAATAGGAGTGTTTTGTTTATTCCAAGTTGAGCAACCGACTTCTCTCTTACTCTGTTGCTGCCTCCTTTGGCTTCTCTTCTTCTCTGGCTCTCCACACTCTCTATCTCCCTTCTCGGTCTCTTCTATGTGTCTCCCTCCAGTCTCTCCTCCAAGGCCAAGGCCATTGCTGCCCCTCCTGGTTTACTCTTTCTTTTATTTTCTATTTACTTCGATGCTGTTGGAGAGAACATTGTTGCATTGTGGTGTTCCTTTAAATCCTCTCTGTAAATGTGAAGGCTCCTGCCTTTATTCAGAAAAGTAGAGCCACGTGGGATGGCCTTGTTTCTTTGCTCAGGATGGACTGACCACATTTTGAATTTACTAAGGAGTAACCTTTCTGCTGTGTCATTTTGGGAATCTTAGAAATAACTTCCTTTAAAAAAAAAAAAGGATTCACTTCTAGAGCTTTCTTATACCAAACTGAGCTGGACTTTTAATATCTAACTGCTTGCTTTTATTATTTTAAAAATTTATTTGAAAGGCTGAGTTACAGAGACAAAGAATTTTATATCAGCTAGTTCACTCCACAAATGGCCACCATGGCCAGAAACCAAGCGTCAGAAGCTTCTTCCAGATTTCCCACATGGGTTCAGGGGTACAAGCACTTGGGCCATCCTCCATTGCTTTCCCAGGTACAGTAGTAGGGAGCTGGATTGGAAATGGGGCAGCCTGGAACTGGCACCTATATGGGATACTGGCACTGCAGATGGAAGCTTAACTTGTAACACTACAACACCGGCCCCTCTGTTTGAGATTCTCTACCCAGCAAGCTACTGATGATTCTAGAAAGTTTCCTACAAATTTTGAATTTTTTGAAAGAAGATCATGAGATTTCCACTAGATTAGGTTCTGATGATAATAACCTAAATGCATTTAAAGAAGAAAATGTCATTACTGTGACACCCACTACAATGGGTGACAACAAGCTATAGAGGAAACTGAAAATGTAGGTTAGACAAATGGTGATCCACCTCCAGACCACTCGCCATAGAATTCTGTACAACGGGGCCAGAGACAGACCCCTTTTTACTAAAGCACTTTATTCAAATAAGTGCAGGAAAGCAGACACATGCTGAAACAGCTCACCTAGAACCAAGGCAAGATTCGGTTTAACAGAGGACAAACAGCATTCTGGGAGAGGAAACAGCAGGCAGGAAGTAAACAGGAAGGCTGTGGGAAGCCTGAAATTCCTTCAGCTCTAAGGTCAAGGCCAAGGAGACCTGCAGTCAGAGCACTGCTGAGCGCATCCACTGTGTGTGTAGGGAGGGTCAGGTCATGTGACAAGGGGAGCTAGACACAAAGATATACAGGAACGTGGGAAGGAGGACAGGGCAGGAGAGGACTACAGAAGTTGAATGGAGTGAGGCAGGCACAAAAGTAAGTATAATGGCCCTTTGCTTAGGAGCTGCTGATCCTCGGAGCCAGGCAGGAACCTGCAATACTGCAGCATCAGCACCTGCTGTGGAACGATCCCTGGGAAATGGAGGAGAGATGATCTCCATCCACGGAGAGGATGTGTGGTTGTTGGAACCAACACTCTCCTGTTACTTTTTGGTCACATTCTGAGGGTGGTATCACAAAACGATATGAATAGCAAACCTCAAGGGCACATTTAAGCCCAATTTCTTATAGTGAGAACATTGGACAACCATGGAGCTGGGTGGAGAAATTACTCCAGCTTTCTTGCAGGAGAAAACCCTATTTATTAAAAATGATGCTGTAGATATTTTTACACAGATGCAAGGAAATATCTGTAATAAACTGAGTAAATAAAACATGTCATAGACAAAACTATGATGTTTTCCAGTTAAGACATATTTGCTCCAGGACTGGCAGCATAGAACATAGTCTGAGCTTCTGCTGAAGTGTTGGCATCCCATATGGGCCTGCTCCACTCTGACCCAACTCCCTGCTTATGGCCTGGGAAAGCAGTGGAGGGTGGCCCAAGTCCTTGGGCTCTTGGACCCATATGAAGAAGCCAGAAGAAACTGGCTACTAGCTTCAGATAGGCCTGGCTATGGCTGTTGTAGTCATTTGGGGAGTGAACCAGTAGATTGAAGATCTCTCTCTCTCTCTGTCTCAACTGTGATTTTCCAATAAAAATAAATAAATAAATCTTTTTTTAAAAAAAGAAATATTTGAGTCTACTGCAGTGCTTCTTCTGTACTGGTTGGATGTGAATATTCTAATTACTATTTCTAGATATAAAAAATATTCCCCCAATTGCTAATCTGACCATCTTTGGGTAGATTTTGAGGATGTTTTTACTTTTTTCTATTTTTTTTCATATTGCATCAATTTTTTGTAGCTTACAAATGTCATTTTATATTTTAGGATAATTAATAAACTTCTTTTTAAGCCAAAAAAATTGTTTCAGAGAAGAGCCTCTGGTATGAATAAATATAGTAAGTGAATTTTTCTTTGAATTTTGAAAAAAAAAATGGTGCTTTTTTTTTTTTTTAATATGATGTCCTAATGGGAGCTAGCTTCTTTAGTTATGGCAGTTCTTGTGTGACGAGGGAACTGGAACAGCTTTCGGGTTCTGCAGCAGAATTCACAGAACAGAACACCAAGCACTAAGAACAAGGAAGGGGTTAACCTTGTATTACACTCAAGGAAAGGTCACGGTTATTCAGAAGAATGGGTTGCTCCGCGAAGGGGTCTCTGATTCCAGGTCTCTCTTTTTTCCAGCCATCTCAGGAACAGGTGAAAGAGATGACTCAACACTGCAAGGATACTCTGGAGAAAATAGACAAGGCTCGCTCGGAGGGTTTGTACCATGAGGTAAGGGTTCACTCTTGTAGGGGAGAGGGATGGGGAGGAGGGATGAGAGGGGACTGGGGTGAGGATGGAGAAGCCAACCAACAGGTTGCTTTTTCTTGAAGTTGTCCCTTTGTGGAGACCTTAACTCTTCTTGCCCTTCAGCTTTGAGTCCCTCTAGGGATGAGTTCTTGGTGACTGCCCATGGCAGCCTGACAAAGTCCCTGGGGGAGTCGGAGAGGGAGGAGAGACCATGCGAGTGGGTAGGTTGCTTTCCTGTAAGCTGGTGCTTGTGTAACTGCAGCTTTCAGTCTCTCCAACTGAGTGGTCAACAGAGGCTCCCAATGTACTGCAGCTTCTCACTTGGCAGGATATTAGAGCAACTTTTGGAAAATGCTGACATTCCACCCTTCAGGATAATTTCACTGTAGTCTCTGGAAATGGGACCAGTTATGGAGATTTTTTTAAAGCCCTCAGGTGATTTCTGAATTGGGACCTGCTGACAAGCCCTGGCTTGCCAAGCAGTTATATTGAATAATCTGGGCAGCTTTCTGTAAATACAGATTTGAATGTGTCACCCTAAGATATGATTCATCCACTCATCGACAGAACCCAAGTACCAAGAGTCGGCATATTCCCCCAGGTTCATTAAGAGACCCAGCGTGTAGCTGGATTCGGATACCTAAGGGAGGTTAACCTGTGTTCATTTCCCTGTGCTCTTCTTCTCCCTTCTTTACTAATTCAGTGTGTATTTGTGATCCTTATTGGGATGATCGACCCAAGAGATGCTCCTTGCCCCCCAGGAATTCTGTCATGAGGAGACAGGGGTTAGGCACCAGTTAGGAGCTGGAACAAATTATGGGCTCTCCTCCCCTCAGTTTTTCTGGAAGTCCCCCTCATTTCTCCCTCTTCGCCATTCAAATTTGGTAGTGCTAGATGTAGGGCTAGACATGGTCCCCATGAAGTTTAGGGAATTGTCTCTAGGTTAAAATTATTGGTGGTCTTCATTTTGTCAGTTGCCGCATGAGTTCTGGGAATGCCTCAAAAGCAATATTTTCACTCATTTTAGAACCCCCCCCCAAAAAAAGTCATGTCCCCCTTCTCCCATGAAAGCAACAAGACAAGAAAAGGAGAACAAAGGGCTACTAAAACCCAGAGAGCATTAGACTTCGTGGTGATGGGCCTAAGCCCGGGTCTATACACGCATCAGGCAGAAGATCCTGACTCCAAACTGAGTGGGCTCAGGCCCACCCGACTCCTCACAGGGCCAGGGCAGCATCCTCCTACAGGGTCTCTTAGCTTCCTGGGGACTCCCTTCTCTGCTCACCCATCACATATGCTTCCAGCAGGACCTGATTATTCAGCCTCCTGTGCGTAGGACCCCCAAGGGTCTTATGTAAATGACATAACCAGGGTCACTCTTCCAGACACTCAGTCCAATGAATTTGAGTTAGGACATGTCTTTAAAATGAATTTGAGATAATGTGTTTGAAATGAATTCCAGCTGATTTCAATGCACAAGGTGAAGAACTGCCAGGATGGTGATTAAGATGGAAGTTGACTGATTCGGGTGAATCTGTTGTTCACTAACTCTGACTTTGCTGAAGTATTCACCATCTCTTCAGTCTCTGGCAAAATGGAAAGATTAGTCATACCTATCTTAGTGCATTGTGGTGGGAAAAATTGTGTTTAGCTGTCGGCCATATCTCTTATCATTACCTTTCCCATCCCTATATCTTAACCGTAGAGGACCACTTTAGAGCACAAACATGCACTCCCCCACCTCCCTCAGCAGTTTCCCCAACCCTTTAGAATTCCTATTCATGGTCATCATAGCGCTTCCATATGGACCTTGAGAGCTTGTTTGGAGGTTCTAGCAGGGGAGCGCAGCTACTCATATACCCTTGACTGAAGACCTGTCCCCCTACAGTAGGGATGGTCGTCCTCTTTGACCCAGCGTGCAGCTTCGGGAGGGACACACATGGAGCAGTGAGGGAGGAAGGGGACACCAGTCTGGCCAACCAGATCAGCCGAATCAACCTAGGTGATCAATGGGGCGACAGATGTTGCAGCCAGATCACCTTCACATCCCTGGTGCTTCCATATATGAACTAAGCATGTGCACTGGTGTGGTGGTAACGGACAGATCTCACATTGCCCTGCAGGTTGTGAAATTATGCCGCGACTGCCTGCAGAAGCAGGAGCCCGTGTTTGCCGACACCAACCTTTACACACTGCGGATGCTGAGCATCGTGTCTGAGGTCCTGTCCTACCTCCAGGCCTTTGAGGAGGCCTCGCACTATGCCAAGAGGATGGTGGATGGCTATATGTAAGTGATGGTCCTGAGTCTCCCAGAGTCTGCTGGGGGTGTGGGGTCCACTCCAGGGAACACAAACAGGAGATGACACACATATTGCTGCCCCTCCACCTGTACCCATCGCAGACATCAGTAACCGATCATGGTTCTCTTTGTAATTGAGTGCTTTCATCATGGCCCTCCAAGCACAATGCCCAGTCGGAGTTGGGACTTGGATGAAACCTATTTGCCATCCCTGATCTTTCCCAAATTCTCCAGCTTATTTACCACTTGGGCAGTATCTTGTGCTTTTGTTGAATTCCTTCCAAGTCCAGCTTTATCTTAAGTGCTGGGAGAGGGTTTTGTGTGTATGTGTTTTTTTCTCCTAACTATCAGCATGAGCAATATTGGGAGCTATCTTTTATTAAAATAAAACACAAGAGAGACACCAGATGTCCTTGTTTATAAATTGTAAAATGTGACTCCTTTGCCTTCCCTCTGCCAATAGCACTCTCTGGCCTTCTGTACCCACTTTGGCATGTGACTGAATCTCTGGCCAAATGAGTAAGTTGGCACAAGAAGGTGCATTTCTTGGGAGAGACAGCTAGTCAGGCAAAAGTGCAGGTAAGCCATGCAGTGTCCTGAAAGCAGTCCTTGCCAAGAGGTGTCACGGAGGTGAGAATACCAATACCACCTCAAGGCAACCTTCAAGTCGTACCACTCTCCAGGGAGGAAGCCAAGGCAGCTCTGAGAGCTCCCAGCTGCCTATACCCGAGCTCCGAGGATCATCCTCATCCCATTTCCCCAGGAAGGCTTGGCCTGGCAGCCCAGGTCTGTGTACCAGCTCTTACAGCCTCCTCACAGATGGCAACTGGCAAGTCTCTGCACCTGTGTGCCCCCTTGGCCAGCCACAGATGCCTAGCTGCAGTAGTGCGAGAAGCGAAAGGACTACCAGTATTGGCTCTTCATAAACTTGTGCACATGTAAAGATGGGTGCCATGATGTGTCGTGGTTATTTACCCCCACAGGAAGCTCTACCACCCCAACAATGCCCAACTGGGCATGGCCGTGATGCGGGCAGGGTTGACCAACTGGCATGCTGGCAACATTGAGGTGGGGCATGGGATGATCTGCAAAGCCTATGCCATTCTCCTGGTGACACATGGACCCTCGCATCCCATCACCAAGGACTTAGAGGCAAGTAACAGCTGGGGCTCAGTGCTGCCTGCCTGGTCTCAGCTCTCTGAAGGTGCTGAGGTGGGTTTAGCTAGACTTTGTTTTCAAGAAGTCCAGGAAGTGGCAGGTAGCCCAGAGGGAACTCAGAATACTTCAGCCAGTTCCCCTTGTTGTACAGCTGAGGAAACTGAGTGCAGGAATGGGGAGTAATCTGTCGGTGGTCACAGCAGGGGTTGAGGGCAAAGCCTGGACTTGAACCCTGGCCTGTAGTAATTTGATGACCCATGCCTGCACTGAGAAAACCCAACAGTGGGGTGTGTGTGTGTGTGTGTGTGTGTGTGTGTGTGTGTGTGTGTGTGCATACATGTATCTTACAAAGTGCTCTGGGCCACATAGAGTTCCGTTGGAAATCACAATTTCTGGAATCAGACTCAGGCTTACATTCCAGCTAGTGAAGCTTCTGAGCTGTGGGATTTTGTAATGTTTAAACTCTATAGAGCCTAGTCTTCACATCAGGAAAATGGGTAAGGAGGATGACATGGCAGTGAGAGTGCAATGAATGAATGGGTGGAAAAGCTCTTACAATTGCACCTCGAAGTGGCCTGATGGCCATGGCTGCTGATGTCCATTGTGCTTTGAAAGACCAGCTCATCTGAGAGTGACAGGAGAGGTCATTAGATGGGGTGGTCCAGGGAAAACAGGTTTTTGTGTCATCGTGTAGCTTGCAGAACAGCTCTACCAGCCGACTGATGTGACCTGGGGTATGGGTGTCCTTTTACTAATCAAAGCCTCAGTGTCTTCCTCTATCATATGGAAAATTGATGTGAGAACCAAGTAAGGAGAAGAGGAGCAGAAGTAGCCACCGGTGTTGTATCCTGTTCCTCGAGGCAGTCTTTGTGGTCCTGTTCACTGTGGCGCCCTGAGAACTCAAACAAAGCCTCGCGTGGGAGAGTGAGGGCCTGTGTGTCTCACACTGCCATTCTCACAGTGCACTGCCAGTGAGGCAGGAATCTTATTATTCACCTCTTGAGTGAGGAAGCCACTTGCCTGAGGTCTCACCACCATGAAATGCAGGTGCCAGGGTGCAAATCCAGCCCCTATTCTGACAGTTCCTGAAAACAAGTCCTCCCCACCTGATGAGAATGACAGCTCTCCCCTCCCTGCGCCCTCAGACACAGCCTCAGGGATCTGACTCCGTGTCCCCAACAAGCTGGGTCCCCCACAGGATGTTAGACTTCTGATACATGAGTGTGTGTGTGTGTTCTCAGTGGGGAGATTTTAATTTTTATGCCTGAGAACCACTCACCGCAAAGTCAGCCAAAGGCCACCATGACCTGGGGCATTGTCAACCTACTTATGGTGTCTTTGTGTCCCACAGGGCATGCGCATGCAGACGGAGATGGAGTTGCGCATGTTCCGCCAGAATGAATTCATGTACTACAAGATGCGGGAGGCCGCCCTCAACAACCAGCCCATGCAGGTCATGGCTGAGCCCAGCAATGAGCCAGCTCCAGCTCTGTTCCACAAGAAGCAGTAGGGACTCTCCAAGCTGGGGTTGGGGAGGGAGGTGGGCAATGTGGGGATCTGAGGAGCGATTCTGGAGGTGGTAGATTTTGGGGAAGACCATTGGTGAGGAAGATGGAGTACTATGTAATTTTCTTGTAAGAATGTCCTGCCTTAAGTTACTGTTGTCGTTTTAGTTCAGTTCAATTCATTTCAACCTAAAGTAACTCTTGTAGACCAGCCCAGCCTCTCCTGCAGATATTTATTGGGTGCTAGACCTGAGGACCCTACAAAAGACCTCTAAATGTAATGGGATAGTGAATGGCAGGATGGCAATGGAGAATTAAAGCACAAAGTAATAAATGCAATGGTCAATTATACGTGGAAAGAGGGGCTGGCACAGAATGTGTGAGTCTGGTGTGTGTGTGTGTGTGAGTGGCAAGGGGTGTCATAGATAGGAAGACTTCAGAGCAGAGGATGGCAGGTGCCAGGACCCCCAGGTGGCTGCTCACTCACCTGTGTGGTTGTCTGATTCATGCTGAAATGCTCAGGACTTGGTTGCCTGGGCTGGTGATATCCAGTGTCCTCCTGTTAGTGGGAAGTTGGGAAGAAAGGGCTGGATGGTGGGCAGTTAGGTTCTGTTCAGAGAACTGAAACCTCTTGCAGAATACTAAATATACAGATAGATGTAGGAGCCTTGCCCAGAACACCTGAGGCCTCCACTCAAAGTCCGAGTTCTGGGTGTGCTTCTAGAACACACAGAGAGGGAAGGTCTTCCTCCCCTGGCCTCGCTGCCAATCCTTGTGACTTCCTGTGATGTGGACAGCATCTGGGAGTGTTCTGACCACTGGCCTGCTGGAGTTACCGAAGTCTTCTTGGAAGGAAGCAAGGAACTTAGATCTGGAGATTTGGCCTTTGGGGGTTTTATTGAGTGACATGTGTCTGGGGGCTCCTTGCCAGCTTCGGTGTTATCCTTGTCCCCAGTGAAGCCCCATTCTTATGACTGTCTTGCTACTGCTTCCTTGACTTGGCTCCCCTGTGTGTGCGCCTGCTTTTTCTTCTCACTGGGAGGACACTGTAACCGGGAGCCTTGTAGACCTGGTCTAGGGTATTTTCAGAGGCGTGACCCATGTCTTTGCATTGCCTTGAGGGCTCTCATCAATGTTTTTTGAGGATCCTTAAATAAAGCTCTCCCATGGGAACAGTTATTAAGGTACAATCTGGCACTACTGCTGACCGCAGAGCTCTGCCTAGTGTTCCCTGCTTTTGTTATCTCTTCTAGAACTGTTGGTTGCTCCGTTCCCACCCTCTCATTCCCAGAAAGGCCCGCTGCCTCCCTCTGAATCCTATCCAGTGGCTAAAAGCTCTGCAAATGGTTTCCCTCTTGACAGGACACTTGTCCCTGACATTTGGTTCTTCCTCGAGATCACTCTCTTCTCTAGAAGATTCTATAAGACCGACGTCTAGCCAAGTTCCCTGCTGACACTGGTCACATCTTCCCAGAAGTTCTGGCGCACTCAGATGATCACTCTTCTACTCTCCTGTGACACTTCCCCTTCCCCTCAAGGCTTCTTCTCTTGTTATTCGCCAACCCACTGTGGGTCATTCCTTCCTACTTACAGTCTTTTGATCCACCCTGTCTTTCTGAAGTGTGCTTGTTTCTAATGAACTGTTCTGTATCTGTGCTTCTCCTTCCCTCATTCTCCCCAAGCCCAGTGGAATAAGGGTTTCTCTCTCTTTCTCTCTCTCCCATCCTAAGACCTCTTACCCTACTATGTCCTCAAAACCTTACCTCATCTCTACTGCTTCTCTACCCAAGTACTATAGCATGTCTCCCACTGCGGGACTGTTTCACACAGTCAGGAAGGACTCTGAGAACTCTGGGATGAACACCCTCACAGCTCTGAGTATTCTTGTGAGTTGTGTGATTATTCTCTGCTGTTCTTCGCTTCTCATTACTTCCTGAACCCACGACATGCTGGTGGCCACACTGCTCCTCCACAAAAAAATGGCTCTCTCATTGAAGTCAGCTCTGGTGGAAATCTTTCAGTCCTGCTGCTATTTGGTTTTGCTGTATTAATCGACACCCCAAGCTGCTGGTTCCCGTGACCCCTCTTCCACGGGGAAGAGCCTCTCCTATGGTTTCTCAGTTCCCTTCCTGTGTGCTGTTTCTCTGCCTGCCTGTGATGCCTTGGCGCTTCCTGGAGTTGTCCTTGGTCCACACACATCTGACTTTGTACACGCTCCCTGCATACCTTGGGCAGACCCTTGCTGACTATCTTGAACGCTGTTGGTCCCCACCAACTCTGTGTATTCTCAACCTTGAGCTTGAGCTCTAGCCTCCCACACCTTCCCAGATGTTCTGCAGGTACATCAAACCCAACAGGTGCGAATGAAACTTTTCTCTGCTCCTCCCACACCTGATCCTCCACAGAACACCACCCAAGAACATTGCCTCCTCCATCAGACTGTGAGCTCCTTGAGGGCAGAAGCTGGTCCCTTTCTTCATCTTTCCACTCCTAGAGCCTGGCACAGATACTGGAAGAGGGCAGGTGCTCAGTAAATATGTGAAAGAATGACTTCACGTATTTCAGAGAAGAGATATGAAACTGTGTACTTTGACTTATTATGTTATGGCAATTAACAAAGCCCATTAAACTCTCTCTGTTTCCAAGCAAATAGATGTGGTTTCTTTCTTTCTAACAATTTTTTAAAACAGCACTCTCTGATAGAACTTACTGTGATGATGGGAAGGTTTATTTGTGACATCTGGTGCAGTAGCCATCAACAAGTGGTGACTAATGAACACTTGACTATAACCATGAAACTGAATCTTTTATTTTATTTAATTTTTATTAATTTATCTTTAACCAAAGTAGGTAATGCCTATCATATTGGATTGTACCATCTTAGAGAAATATTTTTCTATATTTTTTAGAAGTGTGGCTACTGAGAAATCTTTTTTTTTCTATTTTAAAAATCTTTTTTTAAAAGATTTATTTATTTAATCGGAAAGTGGAGTTACAGGAGAGCAAGAGAGAGAGAGAGAGAGAGAGAGAGAGAGAGAAATCTCCTATTTAGTGGTTTACTCCCTAAAGGTCACAATGGCCAAAGCTGGGCTGCTCCCAAACCAGGAACCAGGTCTCCCACGTGGATGCATGGACCGTATCCTCTACTGCTTTCCCAGGCATATTACCAAGGAGCTGGGTGGGAAGGAACAGCCAAGACTTGAATTGATGCTCCCGACGCATTGGGCTTACCTGCTATATCACAACACCAGCCCTTAAGTTTATTTGTATTTCAGCTGTTGTAAGAGTTAAGTTTCCTAAATGCAAAGCTCTTGGAATAGTGGCTGATCCATGCCCGCCCCCCACCTGGTGTCCAGTGAATGTCGCTATTCTTGTTCGAAGGAATTCTAACCATGCTTCTGCTAGGGTGGCCTTTCCCCTGCTGAGGAAGTACAGGTGAGGGGCAGTGGCAGGTGCGACGTGCTGGGACCTGGCGCTAGCTCATGAGAGAGTCTCATTCTGACTCCGCCTTCACCAGTATTCTATTGATAGCTTGGAGTTCCACCACAGTAACTGGCTTCACATTGTGACACATTAGCTTGTTAATCAATGAGGGATTTTTGCCACATGAGGGCAACAGAATGGGTAGTTACAAAGAATATCAAGGAAATTCTCACTTAAGCCTTTTGGCTGGAGCCACCATCTTTCAGTAATTTGCTAAGATGATGAATACGAAGGGAACGAGGAGAGGCCCCCTGTGACATGTTCTCCAGGCCTTCTAGGAAGCACGGAGTTGCTCCTTCGGCCACACACATGCTCGTCTACAGGAAGGGTGGCACTGTAGACATCAAGGGCATGGGTGCTGTTCAAAGAGAAATGCCCTGTAAATGTTACCATGGCAAAGCTGGAAGAGTCAACGATGTTACTCAGAATGCTGTTGGCATTGTTGTAAATAAATGAGTCAAGGGCAAGATTCTTGCCAAGAGGGTAAATGTGCGTATTGAGCATATTAAACTGAGACAGCTTTCTAAAGCAAGTGAAAGAAAACAATCAGACAAAAAAGAAGCCAAAGAGAAAGATACCTGGGTTCAACTGCAGCCCTGCCTGCTCCACTGAGCGCAGCCCAGCCTGCTCCACTTTGTCACAACCAAAGGAAAGGGGCCTGAGCTGCTGGAGACCATTCTCTGTGAATTCATGGCATAATAAGTGAAAGAAAAAAAAAAAAAACCAGGGCCCGGCATGATAGTCTAGTGGCTAAAGTCCTCACTTTGCACATGCTGGGATCCCATATAGGCACCAGTTCCAATCCTGGCAGCCCCACTTCCTTCCAGCTCCCTGCTTGTGGCCTGGGAAAGCAGTCGAGGATGACCCAAAGCCTTGGGACCCTGCACCTGTGTGGGAGACCTGGAAGAGCTCTTGGCTCCTGGCTTCAGATTGGCTCAGCTCTGGCCATTGCAGCCACTTGGGTAGTGAATCAATGGATAGAAGATCTTCCGCTCTGCCTCTTCTCCTCTTTGTATATTTGAATTTGCAATAAAAATAAAGAAATTGTTTTTTTTAAAAAGTAAAGAAAAAGAAAGGAAAAAATTCTGCATTCTGCATCGGACGGAAGATCTTCCTCTCTGTCTCTCCTCTCTGTATATCCGCCTTTCAAATAAAAAAATAATAAAAATAAATCTTTAAAAAAAATTCTGCATTCTGAGACCTCTTAGGGTAAGGCAAGGCAACTACTGACCACTACTCTTCTGATGAACACACCTGCCTGCCCTACCACCAGGGCGCTGACAAGCACATGCGTACATCAAAGACCAGATGTGGCCACTGCTTCCGCAAATCACTCAGGGCTCATTTCCCCAAAGAAAACAGAGGAATAAATATAGCTGGGGAACACAGCAGAGAGAACAGCATTTCCGAGGGTGGCTGCAGGTGCAAGTTTCTGGCTAAACCAATGGATCCCATCTGGTGGGAGCAGATCAGAGCTCCTCCCCTGCCACTCCCCGCACCTGGCCCAGTGCTACAACAAAGCCCCTGGTCTCAACTGAACCAAGGGTACCTTGTCCATCACAGAGAGCCCAACGTGC